AGTGAAAAGGAAGAGCATTTTATAGAAAAAGTGAACTCCAGATCGTTTTATTGATTTCCGGAGGGCATGTGGACAGTTTCTGTCCACCTATATGGCGTCTCCATACAAAGCTCTAACGAAGGCACGTGAAATGTTTAGGCAAATAACTTAGAAACTGTGGACCACAAAGACCTGAGATTTGGATAAATTGTTAGTCTGTTACAACATTTCATTTTCTTGGCTTCTTCAACAGGACGGTTTCCAGTGCCGTGTTTATTGCGTGACAGTGAAAACGAAAAATTGTCAGAATATTGCTACTTTATCATAGGTGGCCGTTTTTGTCATGTCAGCGCTGACAATTGGTTCATTAGTCTCGTTGAAGTTCCTGTTTTGGCTTGTTAACCAGCGTTTTAGTTTTTCATCGGTTTGTAGCTTTTTACTGATCACAACTACGTAGGTTCAGAAATACCAAAACATTACCCACACCGGGTTAACCTTGTTTTTTATTCCCACAGTCAGCTAACTCAAGCATGTCCACCTCTGGTCAGCTATTTGACTTAGTTTAGAGCAAGGATTGAGTAGAGAAGAAGAGTAAGAAGATTAAGATTGTTAGCAGGCGTCAAAGAAGATAATAAATAAAGACCAAGATGTTAATAATATTCCTAGTACCTCATCGTGTAGCGAGCGAGTTGATTGAATGAATGTTGTGTCGGTTGATTGCACGGGGCTTAAGTGCTAGGCAGTACTGTAGTTAATACGGTATTGAAGGTGAACACTTGCAAAGTACACTATATTGTCGAGACTAAGACGAAATAATTAAGGAATTACCATTATGCATTATCAAATGCACTCTCATCGTCACATATCTCATTTTTTCAGTATGTCAACACAACTGGAGCTCGAGTGTGTTTAAAGGAGTTGTACAAGTCAAAGTACGACCCTCTCTCTGTGTCATATACTGTCTTGTCAGGTAAGAACGGTTTAGTGGCATTCTTGTTTTAGCAACACATAGGTTTTACTGATTACTCACAACTAATTCATTATGAATGCATACGGAGATAACTTATATACGAGGGTCATTTCATTAAGAGAGGAAGGCGATCATTTTAAATATTAGCTCCCTCGAAGTCGTTCAATGTTTTTGCTACTGATTATCCCATGTAGAAAATGCTCTCAATTTGGCGTCGTCAGTTTCATTTTCCTCTTTTCCTCCTGCTAAGCGTATCGGGCACACAAGCAGTTGGAATGATGTTTGTGAAGCTGCTTCGTCCCCAGTCGCTCGCGTTGCTTGCCTCCATTTCTCGCGTTTCTCGATTGTTCTGTTCTCCCCACCAAGCCTTGGGAAAGCCTGTGGAGAAATCACTCTTTAAGAGACCAAATGTGGGAGGTTTCTAAACTGCACAGTCGTTTTTTATCTTTATCACAGATATTTGCCAGCCAAGATGGAGTTATTTTGGTGGCTACTGTTACTTCACAAGTCGTGCATGTGCCTCGTGGCTGACCGCTGAGTCAAACTGTTCTACGATGAGTTCCAATTTGGTAACGGTTCACAATCAAGAAGAAAATGTCTACATTCAACACCGTCACAACGGAGAGAGATCTTGGACTGGACTCAATGACCGAAGTGTGGAGGGCTCCTTTGTGTGGACAAACAAAGAAATAAGCAAATTTAGGTTCTGGGCCCCACAGCAACCGAATGACTGGAAAAACGAAGACTGTGTTCACACTCTTGGCGCCAGGCATGGTTACACTTGGAATGATGTGCCATGTACTAACTGTTACAACTACACTTGTTTTAAAGGTAACAAGCGTAGCACTATGAAGATTTATAACCGTATATTTCTTAATCTTCATGTTCCAGATAGTGAATCTACTGAGTTAAAACTACTAACATTCAAAAAGGTCGAACCACAATTACAGCATGTTAGGCAGATGGTTAGGCAGATTGCATGAAAAGGAAGAGAGGGTAACACCAATCAGTGTCATTATTAGAAGCATAGGGAAACAAGTCGTATACATTTGCATTAAAAAAATGTCCATTGATCTAAAAATGGCCGCAAAAGCCTCAAATCGGCGTAATCAAAAGAAGAACGAGAAAGCGTACGTTGAAACCACGGGAAAAGTCGCGCTAACCTCCGCTTACTTTTTAACCCGGTTTTCAACACACCTTTTTTTCAAATCATTAACGAACATAAGTACATACGTTAACTCAGGGCACGCTTACGAACGTTTTTGCAAGTTCCTTTTTTCAAACATTTTTTTTTTTGCCTTGCCAGTGTACGTCAATTACCCAATTACACCAGAGTATATTCTTTTTAAACAAGCTTCATTAACCAAAAAAGTCATGTTGTTTGACAAGAAGCCTCTGTGTGCTTACTTTTTAGACTTGGATGAATGTACTACTGGTTCCCATTCCTGTGACGTTAATTCCGTTTGCCAGAATACCGTGGGTTCATACAAATGCTCGTGTAATGCTGGGTACACAGGAGATGGAAAACCTTGCAATGGTATTTGAGATACAGTTGATCCTCCATGTGCGACCACTTCTCCTAAGCGACCCATAGGTCGAGATGGAGCTACACATATCGTAACTTTGAAATTGCACACAATAAATTGTTTTTCAAAGAGACGACCTGTTAATGTTTGATTTTTGTAAACGACACCTTCCCGTAAAAGACCTCTAATCTGAAGGTTCTTAACGAAGACGAGGAAGCCATTGAAAGTGCAATGTTTGTGTGCAAAAGCTCAACAGTGTCATGTCATTTTGGAAAAAAAGCCTAAAACCATATTTGTTAAAACATAGATTAAAACAACAACGAAACAAGAAAGAAAAAAAAAAAAGAACATATCACCTTAGCGACCAGATGTAAACCATCAGGTAGATTTAATATTAGTCATTCTAACGCTTCACGTAACTTACAATTCTCATGCAGATATCGACGAGTGTTCTACCAACTCTTACAGCTGTGACGTTAATGCGGTTTGCAGCAATACTGTTGGATCGTACGCATGCGCATGTAAAGCAGGATTCACAGGCGATGGAAAAACATGCTCTGGTAAGCTGTTGCGGTGTTGTAAAAAACGCTTCCAAAACGATGTGTGTGCCTGTATTTTCTATATTCGATCTTTACATTTAAACATGTAGAGAACGATGGACATATAACCTCAATGGATAAAATAATAGGGACTTTAAGATCTGGGACGCGACGACTTCTAGAACGCGGTGGCTGATAAAGGACTGGAGCTGTAGAACGCCGTCGTTTGTGCGCGAAAAGTAAAGTAAAGATCTCCGTCGCGATGCAAGACGACGCGGCTGCAAACCGCTCTTTATCAGTGTGATTCTTCGGCAATTCTTTGCAGAAATAGCCATGGTATCATTTAAGAAAGCCCAAGAAATGCTTTGTTTCTGCTTTGTTTGATAGCATTACCTCCACTTCTTCGTTGACGCTTCGGTTTGTCATCGCTTTCATCCGCTGATGAACCTCTTTTCTTCGTCTCTGACAGCTTCTCCATCGCCTTTAGTCTAACATCTTCCGCTTTAACCCGATCGTATTGACGTTTTTTGCTAGCTGTTCCCTGTAATTCCTCTTCGCCACTTTCCTCCAACGCGATGATCATATCCAATAGGTTTTCTAGTTCTGTTGGCTCATCGGGAGTTATCTCAATTGCTTTTTCCTCCACTAGAAGTTTCTTCTTATGCTTGTAAACAACGATTCCCACGTGGTCTCGGACTGATCGCTTATCAACCCTGAATTTCGGCACGGTGAATTTGTTCAAGGTGTCTGCTATTTTTTCCCACATTCTGCTTCTTTGTGTTTACCCTTTCTTAGTTGTGTAGGGATTTACATTGACGACTTCTCTGCATAGAATGGCTTCATGATCATGAGTCCAAAACGTTACTGAACTACAGGGAAGCATAAAAATACACGCAGTTTAATAAAATAAAATTAAATAATACAGGGTTAAAATTGCCTTTTAGCGGCAGATGAACGCAATAAATCGAGAATTGCAACGGTACAAGAGACGAGAAGAGTATGCAGAAGACTCCTGCATTCATTATTTGCAGTTTTAGCTCGTGACTTACTTGCAAGCCTCGCTCGAAGTCGAAGTCGAAGGCGCTGCCATTTTATAAGCTTCGTACACCTGAAAGAAATTTAAAAATAATCAAAATCCTTCCATCTCTGCGATCTAAAATGTCGCCAGAAATTACGACCAATGATCCTAGAAGACTGATTTTACATGTTTAGAGGAATATATCATCATTTAATTTACGCACAGGAACAAATATACTCACTTTTTGTACAGAACGTCAAACATGCAAAACTCACGTTCTCGACGCGACGTGGTGACACCAGGACAACGGCTTGAGCATGCGCAACATTTCTCCTCTTTTAAAATTTACTCCCTGTCGCGTCTTACAGCCGTCGCGTCTCGGATCTTAAAGTCCCTAATAATTAAAGTGAAACTAGAAATACGTATCTCGCAAAATTTCACTAAACTCGGTCTTGCACAATTGTCAAGCTCAGCCGGTTAGAAACTGATTGGGTGACCAGGCTCTACAATTAATCTATCGTAAGACCTGGGACTCCTTTCTCTCCTGTCTTCTTTTTTGTTTCATTGTCCTATTTGATTTTTAAATGCGTATTTTAAAGCATATTTAGCATTATTTCGGCTTGACCTCAAATCAAACATAGATTTTGGGGACGTTTAAGGTTTTTTTTCCGTAAAACCCAAACTGAAACGCACGTCCGACAAACATATCTTAATGAATTGATCTATGGTATGCCAACTGAGCAAACAGGGTACTTTGCTGTTATATTTAATAAAAATTCGCATTGAATCGTTATGCATTTCAGAAAGGAAATTTACTCCCTCGAATACTCCCTCCTACTATAGCTCGTTCTGCTATAGAGCTTAGAGGAACTCTCACCTATAAGCTATCTTGCGACGTCCTCGCCTTTTGAGATTCTTTTCTTTCGAATTGTGTTTATTACGTGTACTTTGATGTTTCGCCTTCCGTTTATATGTAAAAAAGGCAAAAAAAAAATGGATTACCTATTGTAGTTAAGCAGGGTTAAAGCATAGAGAAAATGAGAATAAATGACCTTATTGATCCGGAGTTTGCTGCATCACTAAACAAGAAGGCTTCCTCACTTTTTTCGCCAGATGTCGACGAGTGCTCTACCAACTCTCACAGCTGTGACGTTAATGCGGTGTGTAGTAATGCTAATGGATCTTACGCATGCGCATGTACAGCAGGATTCACAGGGGATGGATTCACATGCACTGGTGAGCCGTTTGAGTTTACCTTCGTTTGTATGATATGTTCGTTTTTATATTGAACAGCAACGACAGCAATGCAAGAGTGTTTTGTGCTCTTCTCGCTTTTTACAGTTAAAGTTTTGGTTTGGCAGGAGTTTAAATTAATTTTAGTATTGACTGTATGTAGTAGGCAAATAGAAAAGCGGAGCCAAGCAGCCAGTTTATATCATCGGATACGTGGAACGATGGTGATTGTTCAAACCTGCGATCATTTTTTTAGGCCTAATAATATACACGAAAAAAGCTACTCAATTCTGATTGGCTGAGAAAGGAGTGCAGTTCTTCTGTTACACGAGTGCAGATTACAAATGGTTTCTGATTGGTTGAAAACAGAAAAGAAACCACCAAGAACCAATCAGATTGAAGCTGTTTTAACAACAAAATTTAAGAAAATGGCCTTTGTTTTCAGCAAACAACGATTTGATTTCATGTACGCAAAACAACAATAGAAAAGTTAAAAAAAAAAAATCCAAAAACTCAAACACAGTAAAAAGAACATCTTTCTGGCTAAATGTATAGAAAATGCGGTGCTAAGAGAAAAATACTGTAAAAAAAATCGAGGAAAATGAGCCAGAGAAACTAAACAAGCTACTTATAACAGACTACGCTAAAGTAGAAAATAAAGAACGAAAACGGTGGCAACCACACGCAAGCCATGACAGCTCCACTTTTCAGGCATTTAAATGAACATGATAACATGATAACATGATAACAACAAGGACTTCAAGTCACGTTATTCTTTGTTGGGGGAGAAAGGCGTCCAGTTGCTCTCTTTAAGTCTTTTGCCGAGCAAAGATCTCTATTAAAACATCTATGCGATGGTCTGTTTCTTTCTACTTCAGTAGCAAACGAAACCGAAAATTTAAACATCTGGTTCAAACTAAACCAATGTGCGAAAATACCATAACTAACATAATGAAAGTATCCGTAGCTGGTAGTACTAGCCTTAACGAAAGTGAGAAAAAAGTTTACGAATCATAGTGCAAGGAAAACAACAGTCAGCAAACTGAAGAAAGCACTTATATATTGTAAGTTCAGAATATATCGCGACTGTCACAGGGCACAGAGGTATAAATTTCCTCAACGACTACGATGAAGCCGACGAAGAAGGGCGACGATGACTCGATCTCTCTTGCAATATCCAAATGAATAATAAAAACCCCAGAGAAAAAGCAAATATTATATTTAATACTGGCGGGAGTTTCCGACATTACAACAACTGTGGCTCCACTCACCCATTGATGGCAGCGTCGAAAGAAAACAAATTTCCTCCTTCATTTTCGGGTTTTAATTCTCAAAAATTTCTCCATGAATCCAGCTATGATGGGGTCTCAGGTGAAGACTATCGGACTATGATGAACAGTCGTTAAAAAACTGAGCAAGTGTCTTTCATCTTTGGCTGCTCGAATTGTTCTCCTGATTTCAAAACGGCAGTATACTTCTGACTTGTAAACGCCGAGCTCTCATAATCGAGGATGAATTTAAAAACACTTACTTTTGCTGATTTTTCCGTGAACGGAATGTATCATAGAATGAAAAGAATATGACGTGAACTGCTTAAACTGCAATAACCACTGCCACGATCATGACGCTGTTAATTTGCAATTGATTAAATTGCAATTACCATGCACTGCGACGATCATAGCGGAGCTCTGGCGCGCGAAGCGCGCCTGCGGAGCACCATGGGTAAGAAAATGTGGTAAACTACCCATCCAAGAAAATTTGGTAATCACGTGACCGTACGCCCGACCGTCCGTCCGCACCACAGGCATACCAATGTGAAATAACTCAATCAACAGGTATGGTAACCCAAATGCAACTCGAGGTTATTTAGGAGGGAAATCGCATAGCCACCCGCGTCTGTAAAGCAGAGGCAACTAAAGAGTCAATAAAGACAAAACCGAAAAGCGTAAATTGTTTCTGTATTCGTGTTTTCTAAAGTATTAAGCTCAGATTATTGTCATGTCCACACATTTGGAATATAGGGCCAGAGAAAGACAGAGAAAAAGAGGCAGGCCAGCGAAACTCAACGAGAAAAAGGGCAACAGAGATCTAGAGCGAGAGATAAAAAAACAAAGGAGACCTTTTTGTTTGAAGAACAACATGAAAATTTTGTAGCGGCGGTGACAAAATGAGAAATGCTAGCTGCCACCAATGCAAGGAGAAAATGAGCGGCAGTGAAAAAAAAAAAGTGAACGAGAACACGTACGACATTTCCTCCATAAAAAAGTTTCTGGACGTTTCACGTTGTGGTCGTGCAAAACAACGGCAAAGAAATGTACAAAAAAAGTGTGCTGCACGTGCAAAGTTGCTTTTTTGTTAATTAGACCTATTGTTGTTTTTTCTCCGGTCTCCGGCGTTGCCTTCGCCGCTTAGCATTACACGATTTTATATTTTGTTTGAACAAACTATAAATATTATTGAGAGCTTCGCTTTTAGCCGTGGCTAAATCTATATATTATAATTATATCTTCATTTAAATTTGTATTTGCGAAGTTCACATCATCTTTACTCTACGACAGATCAAGTATCTATAAGTATTATATATGTAATGAAATTTACCATCAACGTAATATGACCAGTAAATATTATCTGTTAAAAATTACTGGCAATTTGACTGGTGGGACAATTTTTCTCGCAATTAAGAATTATGGTATAACCAATCACAGGCCGCATCGTATCGGTTTTCCCGCCTTTCACTGTCCGCTTTCAAAAATATAGTTACGTCCCCTTCGGGCACTTCAAGGTTCGTAGATAAAGTATCACTCGAGAAATTTCTCGAAGGACAAGAAAAGGAAAACAGCGGAAAGAAAACTGAGCGGAATATGGCTCTATTTAAGGAATTTTTAATGATAAAAGGCTAGTCGAGTGGTTATTAGAAGAAATTCCCGAGACGGATTTAGCATGCATTAGAGAATGAGAAGACAACGAAGATTATAAGCCCAGTTCAAGGTATGATGTGATTGCCAGATTTAAAAGGTATTCGAAGAGAAAAATCACGAAAACAGAATTATAAAAGACGTCGAGTTTGAAAAATCACGAATGGCCTTTTGGTCAAAACAAAACGGACATGAAAAAGCTAGGCATAGTCAACAAGCGGTGTCACTTTTCTCGGGCACTGTAATTCAAGGAGGCCAATTCAGAACTGAATCCAATCAGCAGCTTGAATCAATCCATAAGTTAGCAGTCCAAGAATCTTCTACAAAGAGGCACAGACCATTTAAAGTATTAGATTCTGACTCTGATTAGTTGAATTGCAAATCCATAAACATACGGCTTAATTTAAGCCCTTTTCTTGAAACTTTGTAGACTACATGTTTGTACTTGGTACGTCTTTACGGTTCTGAACGTGTTTGAACATTCTCACTGAACGTTCAAACTTTTAGTATTATGTGAGATACAGCTTTTAAAGATCAAGTTTTTTTTTTCTTGGAGTCATCGAAAACAAATTTAGACATTTCAAAAAATGTTGAATCCTGCAATGTTGATAGTAGTAAATATATCTCGCTCTGCAAATCGTTGTGTTTGTATTGACTTTATCTCGGATTGATAGTGTAAAAGTAAAACTTTGTTATATCTATCAGTAAAAATAGACTAAACAAATTGCTTCATGGTTGGTTCCTTTGTACGATATTTATTCTCTGGTTTTGAAGAAACAATTACTTGCCCGTATCTAGCTCTTTCGTTTGTGATTCTTCACAACTCCTGAATAAAAATCGGTCCGCACTCACGAACCACAAAGTAATATCTATTTCTTATATTTCGAGTAATTTTATGTTCTCAGATGTCGACGAGTGTTCTACCAACGATCATAGCTGTGGCGTCAATGCAGTCTGTACCAATACTGTGGGATCGTACGCATGCGCGTGTAAAGCAGGATACACAGGAGATGGGAGGACTTGCAATGGTACGTTTGTTTGTTTTAAAAATGAGTCATTGTACAGCAATTGCTGAGCCCCGAACCGAGCTACATAAAACCTACACTTTACTAGTACTGTTTCAAAAATCTTAATGTCGATTGATTGATATTCTTGTATCTTAGCATTGAAATTTATTATTGAGAGAGCTATGCAAAGAACTCATGTACTGTTAGAAATCAGTTTTATGCAAAAAGAAGTTCAAAAGCCTGCGTATACTGTGTTGTCGTGTGAAACATGTCTCAAATTTATCTGGTTTTAAACCCCACTGTCCTCCATCTGTATATATGCTGCATCAATCGCTGGACTTAGTTTCCAATAAGCATCTAATAGCTTTTTTTATGAATGCCGAAAACTGAATGTTTTTAATGTTCTTCCGCTATAAAATACTCTTAAAAATAGACACAATGCATATAAATACTAAAATCAACTCTTACATGAAGCCTTGAAAACGTCAAAAATGTCTGATACATCAGCGCCCTGAATCTCCATTCGCAGATGTTGATGAATGCACCAGCGGTTTACACAGCTGTCACAAGTTCGCTTCATGTACGAACACCATTGGGTCCTTCAGCTGTTCATGTCAACAGCATTTCAATGGAGACGGTAAAAACTGCCAGCACCCTGTGAGCGGTGAGTATAGTTTTCATTGGTCTGGGTTAGTTTAAAAAAGTTAAAAGAAATTTAGTGAAAGGGGAGCCCACTTAAAGCGTTTTTGTTCCTAGCATACTCCATTAAAAACAAGGACATTGGGTGTGGTGATAGGGCGCAAATTAACCCTTCACTGAGACGGGGGAGGGGGCAAATAACACATGGGAGCTATTCTAGACATCAAATTCCCTCAGGCACCCTTAATTGTCTATTTCCTTGCAACATTCCTTCCAACGATATTATTTTTTTTTCCAAATCTCCCAGCCAGCAGAAATTGGCCTGAAGAACAAATATTTTGAGGAACAGGTTCATTGGGTGCCCCTGATCATGTAAATCTCTCTGGGATCGGACAAAGTTAATACGACTCACAGAGTCTGCATCGTCCAATATCGTATTGTATTCTCGTTTCATTTGGCTAAACGAATCAATCGCCCTGATCCGGGCTGAGACAGAAATGTACGATATTGTCCGCTTTTCGGTAACGGGTTTTTAGGAGTCAAATTAATTGGGCGAGAGCAAAATTCAAGGTGAACTTTGACCCGGGCCAAGACCTCGTTTATTTCTGGTGTGAAGACAGAGTCTATGCTGGTCTGCCGACCTTGTGACTGTACATCCGGGAACTTGAATAAGACGAGCGTAAGAGAAAAGTCCAGAGGTGTTTATCTGCCAATAGGCTGAGTTTTTCTGAGTTATTTGATGATATTTTGCTTGTAATTTCCGGTCATTATTTTACTTCATATATATTTCTGTAAATTCGTGATATCTCAATAAACCTGATGAAGACTGGTATTGGCCAGTCGAAGTATCGCAACTTAACTCTATTTCACGTTGTTTGATCAGTCCCTGCAAAAGTCCTCTTGACTGTAACGTTTTCAATTTTATATATTTTGACTGATCACGATCTTATTGGACCTGACGTTGAGCAAGATTGTTCGTACACGGCTTTTGCAGTGTTTTTTTCTTTTTTTACCTTAGCTAAACATTTTGCTTGTGTTGAACGTGGGACGATTATTCGTGGTTGTGGATCAGAGGGTGCCAATGGGGGTATCCTATTCTCAGTTAACTACTAATTTTTAAGCCAAATATCAGTTAACTAATATTTTTGGGCCAATTTTCAGTTAACTACTAATTTCGGTTAGCTATTAACTTTCACTTTCCTACAGCGAATATTATTCCGTCATAACCCGAATTTTCTAAAATCAAGGTATATTTTTACATGAATTTACATAAACTCCGCCACTACTACGATTTATAAGTAACTAAGAATATAGAAAAGAACATACAATTATCTAACCCAAGTAGTGAAAATGGGTAAGCGATAGCTATTAAGACCCCTATTAAAATTAGATTAAGTCGTATAGCCATCAATATGACACCAGCCTCATAGATCGAGACGCACCAGTCAAGATCTCGTACTGATCTTCCCGACCTGGTCATACATGTCCTCCCATAACCTACTTCAAAATTACCTCCTTTGTCACTTTCGTTATCTGAAACAATCTCGTGTACTTATCCGGTTGCTATATGCCCTGTGTCTTGTTCGGTCCTTGTTGCTGGCCTAAGTCTCAATCCATTTTCAATCCTTCAATCCATTGCAACAGACGACGGGAAAAGATCAATGCCAAAATATAATCTTAAATAACGAAACTGGCAGGACCATTATTTTTGGAATTCAGTTGACGAAAAAAAAAGGTTTTAGCTTTTTAAAAAGATAGCACATAGCATGACATAGTACAGTGACGCTGGTGGTAAAAATCCTACTTTAGTTATCTTAAGTTGGTTCGCTTCTTATGATTCGTTGTCAAACAGGGCGAAAGTTCTCTACCCAGTCCCTTATCACAACTTTAACTTCTTTTGGTACTGTTTGCACCGATGGGAGAGACATAGTTGAAAGTGCTGACAGAGGCATGAAAGTATTTAACAAGGGACAATTCGACTTTTCTTGAGTGCAGCCCTTCGAATTCGTAGTTCTTTTGAAGCGATTCCTTCATTGTGGTTCCAAAGTCTTAGGCGTAGTTTAAAGCACTAAAATAATGTTTTGTGTTGAAGTGAGAAACTGCGTGTAGGTTTTCCACCTGTGTTGTCAGAAGTTTTTTGTAGCTCGATACAGACTTTGTTGACATCCTCTTTTGCGTCCCTGTGTTACCTTTTTTTTTACAGACGTACCTTTTTCGCGCGTATTTCAAAATCGTCATAAAGATATCCAAGGGTTTTAACCCTATTCAGACTGGGCTTTTTTAGTCAATCTGTGACTGGGGGGGGGCTCCTCGGACCCCCCCTCTGTATCTCTGGAACCAATAATGCTAGGGTCATGAAATTTACACACAATGATCATCTCCGTACAAAGAAGCCCCACACCAAGTTTTGACTTGCCACGCCCAATGATGACGTCACAGTGACGTCATATTCCAATTTTCAATGTTTCTTATTATTTTTCCACTTAGATACGAAAAATATCAATAATATTGGTAAAGTCATCTCTTTGTTATCCTTTCTTATGAACTAATAACAAGGAAACACTTGTACAGCGAGAAAAAGCAATAGGAAGCAATAAAACTTAAAATTTGAAATGGTTGTCCGCCATCTTGGATCCGCCATCTTGGATCCGCCATCTTGGATTTCCGTTTTTTTGTTAAAATTATAATTTAAAGCAACTTTCAAAGGGGAAAAAGCTCAGAATGTATAAAAGAAGTATCAAACTAATGTTTATTAGCCAAACAAATGACTTTGGAAGTGTTATTTGGAAAATAGAGCAGCATATTTGTCAAAGCAAAAAAGTGACAAATTTTACCCCACCCCTCCCCCCCAAATATTCGATGTTGAAACATTTTGATGTAATTCAAAAACTAGTCCCAAGCAAAGACCATTTTAACAACAAAAAGCACTATAAGTGTAAAAACGCGATCTTAAAACAAAAAAATCACCTTTTTTTAAATTTTCCAAAACCTATGTGTCAGAAACTGGTTACCATGGCAACATGATTAATCACATGGACATGGTAATTATACCAAAATGTTCCTAGATAAATTTTAGGAAAAGTCAGAAAATTTGAACGTCATAGCTCTTTCGGTGTAGGAGTTATCACGATTTTGCCGGAGGGGGGGTTCGAAAAGCCCCCCCCCCCAGTCTGAATAGGGTTAATAAATGAACCTGTTTCAGAAAGAGAGGTTTAAACACGATCTTAATAGTCTCGATAGTTAGAACTGCAACATCACTTACAACAATGATTTTTCGTAAGTACAAATTACATGTACTTTAAAGAAAGATGTTGATTTCTTTGAGCCATCAAAAGATCTACTGCTTAGAGTTGGCTTTTTTCTTTGGGTGCGGTAATGTTTAACTTGACAATCTTTTGGGTCCGTGAAAACAGTTCTTTCCTTTTACGAACACAAAAATCTTGTTCGTTGAGTTGTCTACAACCAGCTGCTCTATGATTGACCCTTTCTGTTTGCCGGGTACTGCCCTGGTGCCTTTTGCGCATACTAGTATGTGTTTAACACTGGTCCAAAAGTATTGCGGGGGGGGGGGCGGAGCATTTGGAAATGTGGTTGATACGAAACACATGGCCCATCCCCTCCCTTCGGCACAAAAATGACTGACCCACCCCTAAAGCAAGGTTGGAAATTCCATGACCCACCCCCTTGTTAATACATGGATGTTTGGTTTCCTCTTAATAATCCAATAACACCTTGTTCTGTGTTTGACAACATTTGTTGATACACAGCTACAACCAATATCACAATCACAGAAATCAAACCTTTCACTGAAAAGACAAATGTTAAAAACCGAACATTTCTTGTTTCGATGGACGTTATATGAGTCTTGACACAAATATACAGCAAAACGAGGGTATATTGAAATTGTCTGTCACAAAGCATTTGAAAATTTCTACAAAGACAACTTATTCCTACACATTACTTACCGGAAATGCCTAGATTAATCCTCAAAGAAAATTTCTTCCACTTCAATGGAAAGCACTACCTACAAAATCATGGAACTGCAATGGGCTCAAAGACAGCAGTTTTGATTCCTTTGCCGATATTTTCATGACATATATTGAAACAACAGCTCTAAGCAAAACTGTCTTTAGAACAGTTTGGAAGTGCTACATACACGATATCTTTTCCCTATGGGACATGAGTAAACCAGACATCAAAGCCTTCATTGAAGAAGCAAACTTACATCACCCAACTATTGAATTCACGGCCGAATCATTTGACACTGACACTGCGTTTTTAGACACTGTTTTATACAAAGGCACAAGATTCAAGGAAAAATCTATCCTTGATGCAAAAACACATTTTAAACAAACGGAAACCTTCTTGCACACACATTTCACCTCGAGTCACCCTCCAAATGTTAAAAAAAGGATTTGTCAAAGGAGAAGCCTTGAGAATCCTATGAAAAAACTCCTCAGAAACAACCTTTGAGGAAAAAAAGAAAAAAAAAACCTTGATGGACGGAGGCTACCCGCAATCTTTGATAGAAAACCTACTATCAGAAATAAAATTCAAAAAAGGGAGTCTAAACTCCTAAAAGGAAACAACAAGGAGTAAAAAGAAATATTGCCATTCGTGACACAATACCAGCCCTCCGGTCCTCGGTCTGAGGAAAAATACGAATCAAAATGACTGAAAGATCTAATGTAAATACTATAAATAAACAGATTAAAATATTAAAAAACTTATTCACCAAAATGTCAAAGTTTTTTAAACTGAGAAATCACCAGACTAATCCAATTTAACGACTGTTTATTCATCGATCCAAGAATAAGTTGGTGAAGTGATTCTTACGTATACCAGTCAATGACCGGTTTGCAATTCCGCAAAACTAAATTTATATCAAATTCCCATTACGTCGCGTCGCATCGCAGCTAGATGTAGTGACACTCTCTTCGAACGTTTTTCCCTCTTGCACGATTCAGAATAACTGTGGAAATTTCTTTAATTTGGATAGCCGTTTTGCGAAGGCAGGTAGACGCTTAGGGCCTGTTAGTGAGGTGACCCGCTTAGGTAGGGTAACCCGCCTGCCCATACAATCTCTCATATGGTCACCCCCACCTATCATGTAAACGTGATCAAATTAAAATGAGAGATATGAACAGGCGGGTTACCTACCTACACGTGAACAGGTCTCTAAACTGTGTGCTTTGATTGTACAATGTATTTCCATAATTATATCTGAACAACCTTTGTTAGTTTGGCTGCTTTTGTGTTCCCATATTATTTTTTTTTTCAGTTAAAAAGAGAACACCGTTATTTAGCAATCCTATTGAAATGAAATACTTAGGGTGAATAGTAACAGTTTTTCACCCTACCCGATAAAATGGCTTCTCAGCCGACTTTACAATTGTAATTTGATAATTGAAAGCATAATTATCTTCTTCACAATATGTGAAATTTAATGGGAATAAAATGGAATAAATAAGGAAATGATGCTTCTTCACTTCAGCCTTAAGCTGCTCGAGATTCTTCTATATTACCTGAAGTTTCTGCAAATTCATTCCAGAGGCGGACTGCTCATGGCCGCTGTCCGGCAGTGAATCTAAAGGAAGGCATGTTTAACTTGTTTCTGTTTCCGATATTAGGAGGGTGCGAAACGACCATTTTCTCAAAACTGTTACATATAAGGGGCTGGGCAAGTCCCTTAACATGTATTAAATTAACTCGAATTTTTTTAAGGCTTGTCAAAAAAGGCAAGGCACGAGTTTTATCACTGGTTAAAAAATCTTGCGCCTTTTACGCTCGAATGTTAAACCAGCGATGAAACCCTGCTGTTCTTGTTTTAAACATTTCTAAACACGGAACGCTTTCAGACTAGAAAACGATTGTTTTTCCTTTTCCTACATTGAGATACATGCATTACCTTAGAATTAAACACCAAAAACCATTCACCAACATTTGACAATTAAAAATGGAATAAGAGTGATAAAAATTAATTTGAAACAGCTTGAATACACTTTTTTTGTGGCGTTCTCGCTCCATGCGTCGCAGTCGTGGTTGCTTATTATGCTCCTTATATTGAAAGAGACTGTGACTGATAGGGAGATCGGGTATGCCATATATGGAGAATATGGACTCTACTCCTCCGACTGAGTTTAACTGAACTCTGGAGGGGCTAAACTGTAACGTCACTGAAATTCGCAGTAGGCTGCGAGATTAAAAGCGCACCATTTGAAAAGAGAGCATCATGCCACTAGCACGCAGGCTCAGAACGAAAAAAAACGTTACAGGCTTTTGTTATTTTGTGCGTTTCATTCTGATCATTATGATAACAAACTTCAGAGGTATCTGACACTTGCGCGAGCTTGTTTTTATAAAGGGAAGATCTCCAGGAAGTCTAGTTCGCTGTTTTCCGTTATTTGCTCTATGAGATCCCTTGCACACGGATTCGTGCAGAAGAAGAAAATGAAATTGCATGAAACTGTAGCAATGAAAGTAGTGGTGTCCGAGCATTTTGGTTCGTTTTAAGTACCAGCTAAGTACCAGCCAATAGGCAAGTTTTGTATTCCCTGACGGCCCTGGGGCGAGCACGATTACGAGGCTTATGCCGGTGAACTTCTTTGCGAAAACAAAAACAAACATAGGTAATTTACCGCTGAGTCGCTGGAAAACGATTGAAATCTTTAAAACAGTAATATTTTAAAGCTTAAACTTTACCAGTAAGCCAAAAGGATATCTGTTGCAAACAACAAAATTGTGGCTGATCGTACTTAATAAAAGAAAGAAAAAAGCGACGGAGCCAAAAGAAGACCTAAACTTTTTAAAAGTTTGTTAAAATGACAATATTTTATTACCTTTAATTATCTTACTTCTGAGCATTCTTTTCTACTCTTACGTATATCTGTAAAATGGAGTTTAAACTGCTCAGTACATCGTCTGTATAAAATTCTGTCTTGAGTTCTAGTCGACCAAAATGCGCATACGTTGTTCTCTCTGTGACTGAATATTTTGATAAATAATGTAATCCAGAAGCATATATAATATGCTTCTGTGTAAACTAAATTAAAGTTTATGTTTAAATAAATTTATGCTATTTTAGTCATCTTCATTAAAACTGATTTAACTTCCTCACGGTGCAAGGAATTAATGCAGAACGTCTGCATTCCCCGTCGGTTTATTTTTTTCAAAGGCACAAGATTTTGCTTTCGCTCCGTTAGAAAAAAAGTCAACTAAACATAAGGTTTCAGTTTAACTTGCAAATTCTCGACAAGTACGTCCACTCCAATGGAAGATATGGCTTAAAGAACCTTTAACCATCACTGAAATAACATTAAAATGGCTTCAGGCTATTACCTTCAGTGTTTAAGGATTTTGAAACCATCTTCGCATTTTTATTGAACACTATTTCGGTCGATTTCTGGTTAGGCTCGTTGTTTTTCTCAGTGATAACGAACTGATTTTCCTTTTTTCTGTTTGAAAAAATGATTTCTCAAACCTGTAAGTAAATTTTGAGACCTTCGGATCCTTTCAACGTGTCAATTTCTCAAGTAGCTTAAGGCCTGGGACTAAGGTGTTTACTTGTGGAAAATGAATTATTGGCTATAACTTTGGCAGAGATGATGGTGCTGAATCAAAATTTGGCACACATAAATAACTCATCGTCCTTAATATTTTATAGTATAAACATTGTGTTAATAAGTCACGTGATACGTCACGGAACCAATTTGCTAAAAATCGTAGGTTATTGACCAATTGGTGCCCGGTTTAAGAAAAGAAATCGGGGAAAAACATTTTTCTAATTCATATTAAATATTTCTAACACCTCAGGTTTGGAATGACCGTCCATTGCACTTTAGTAAAAAATTATGAGGGAAAACATCATTTAAAATGCCCAAATTTAATCTTGAATTATCTAAAAATTTAATCTTAAACTTTGCGTACGTTCATTCCAAACATAGTAAGTTGGGTATGTTTATCTTCTTTCAGAAAAACCAATTTGTTTATTGAAACAATGTAAATTCGCCACCAATTCGCCAATTTCCTTCATTTTCAATTTCTGGTCACGTGCACGATAAGGCACAAGAAAACCTCAAGATTTACTTTTGGGGAAATTTTCATTTTGTTCTGGGTCTCCTAGCGAGAGATATTGCCAATTATTCATATGCTCAGATCACATCTTTTAGCCAGCTAGGCCTTAAACCCCTTGAGTTTTTTTTTTCGGCAACTCAGACGCAGTTTTCTCATGTTTATTTGTCTTCTTGTTGAGAAGTAACCCGCATTAGCCTCGTTTTCGCGCAAAATCAAGCATTCGTCCTAGGCCGCCCGGGAATCCGAAACTCGCCTAACTCGTAGTTCATAAATAAAATACGCGAGAAACTTGTTTATTAATAATTTATGCTAAACATTTCCAGGAAGGGCAGCCAAAAATTAATAAATGGCTTATGAATGCGCGGTAAAACGTCTTAATTTATGTGGGCATGCTAAAATGTCAACTTGACAAAACAAAAAAAAAACAAAAAGATTACGAAGCATGTTCGGGCAATTACTAGTTTAAATTGAATGTTTTATTATAGTTTTTGACGAGTAAGTTGTAATGGTTAATAAACACCTTAGACTGGCCTCGTCTTTCGTACGAAATTAAAATCTAGTCATTGCATGGTTTTTAAGCGTTTTCAAATGCAAAAAGTGTAAGTATAAGATTCTTAGTTTGCCTCTTTTGTTAAGCAGATACTTAGGAAGAAATGGCTCATGCCAAAAATAAAATGTGCGTAAAACTTTTTTTGTTCTCTGAAGACACCATTAGTGGGCGGGGACGTTTCATTGTTTCGACTTGACAGATAAGCTGGCTTATAAGTGTTAGATTTATACAACAAGATTAATATACACACTCACTGTGTTATTGTTCTTCATTGGTAATGAGTAAACTGCAAAAAGATTCGAGTCTTGTAACATTCACGAGTACAAAGCACAATTGTGCTAGTCATCTTCGCTATTAAAGTAAAAGTCCGAAATTGGAGGCTGTCTAGTATAAAAAGGTAACAAAACTAAAACTTTTTGCTAAAAACTTCGGTCTAACGCCCTTCATCAGTTACAGCATAGTGGAAACCTTAAGAACAGAGAACGGCATCGGCGGCGAAAACGTCGCTTAAAAAGTGAATTCGCAATTTTTTCAACCTTTATCGCGATTATTTCTGCTCACTTCCTTTCTCAAATTTATTCGAAATCTCCCGGAGTTGAATTCGTAAGTGACACAAAGACACAAAGACTTGCTCGCCTTTTAGATATCATGTGACACAGAGATATAGACTGGCTCGCCTTTGAGATATCATTAGTTCACTGTATTAACTGATTCAACTTGAAATTGCTCTTTTTACGCTCCATCGTCAACATTACTTTTGTACAATCATGTAACCACCATTTCCTGTTTAAGACCACCCAGTATTAAAAACAATATTATGGTAAGGTCAAAATTTGTTGAAGCACTTTCGGAAGCACAAGATAGTGGTATTACTTCCTTGTCCTTCTTTGTTCAAAGGTGGTTTAGAAACCAACTGAAGAAATGTGAGCGAGCGTGATCATTTTTGACAACAGGAAATTGAAAAGAGAGCTATTTGTTAAATTAAGGTAAACTTTCGTAAGTGGTTTGTTGTTATTTTTTTTTTTAACTTTCCTTCACTTTGACCATTTATACGTAAATAAAAGTACAAAGTTTTTCAGTAACTTAGACTTGATAACAACTTTATTCACTGGGTCGTCGAAATGTTGTACTTTTAATGATAATCTTTCTTCTACAATAATTTAAAATATGTCTTAAATCAAAAAATCTCTTTCAGAATGTCAAAACTACCAAACCTTGACAGGCGCTGATAGGAAAACTTCGTACAGGAAAGTTTCTTCTCCAATACATGACGTAATCGGCCCCGGGTGGTTTCGGTTTCAAGGCGCAGCGGGAACAAGGATGGCTACATCGTGTCCACCTTTGTACAGATGTAATACTAATGCACCCGGTTGGTTAAATGGTGGTCATCCATCAGTAGCTGCTGGTCAAGTAACAAGACAGGTCTGTTTTAACTGGAATGGTTTGTGTTGCCATGGTACCGTCAATGTCCAAGTGAGAAACTGTGGATCGTACTATGTATACTACCTGAGAGAATATGGGGGTGTTACTCGCTACTGTGGCAGTGACTAACCACGAAAGACAAAATGAGATGGCAAAGTCATTAATTAGTATAGGTAATCACATGATTTCGAGGGCGAGTGCACTTTGTGGTCTTTGAAAAATTTACAAGTGCTTATTCATTCCAAAAAATTGCACGAGAAAAATCATGTGACTACTTATTAATAATATGCACGAAAAACATAACTACAACAACAAATTTTGAGAGCGCGCGAGTTTTTAGTTCATTCAACTGATGGGCTGAAACAGACTTCTACCTTTGTCAAATTCAAACTTTTTCAAGACCAACGCTTTCAAAATCATTTAGCTAAGAGCTTGAAAATGTGCAAGGATTTTTTTATATGGTCACCAACCTGATTAAAGATAACTTGGTTTACAATAATCAGCAAAAGTAAGTGTTTTTAAATTCATCCTCGATTATGAGAGCTCGGTGTTTACAAGAAGCGTTTACAAGAAGTATACGATATTTACGTTTTCACGATTCTTAAAATGAGAAGTCGTATAAAAGTAAAAAACGTTACGTTAGTCCCATTTTGTAAAACAGATTGCTTTTCGACTTCCCATTGCTCCTGAGTGTTGATGGAGAATGCCTTGGGTTGACTGGTCCCATCCTTTACGAGTCTGCAAAACTTCACGTCAAAGCTTTCACCAAGACCACGTTTCACGCATTCATCTTTTATTCCGCAAAAAGTAGTGACATGGTTTCTAAAGGCGTTCAAACTTTTATGCGAACTTTTCAGGCCAATTCTAACTCGTTCTTTCGAGCCAACAAATTTACCACTTGTTGATTCTTGTTCGGAGTGACAAAAAATTACTGCTTCCACAAAAGTTGACAAAGCTTCGTGAGCCGTGGCAGCCATGGTTTCTATGAACCTAAGTTGACCTTTGATCTCACTCACGTGTTCGGGCGATCTCTTGGCGCGCGGCTATAAATTCGGGAAGGCAGCTGTTGATGGGTCTGAGTGTACTGATGAGTGAAGTTACATCAAAAGACTCACAAGTGAAGTTAAATCAAACCACCAGATGCTTGTTAGGTCTTCTGTACCAATTTACTATTTATTTTCTTCAATTGATCCTTAATGTACGTGTAAACAATCGAGAACTTTGGCAGTTCATGTTTCACGAAGTGTACTACAATCGCGAATCACAGAACAGTTTTTCAGTATATCACGATTCACGGACACCAAAAATGGTCGATCACGGCGTCACGAAAATACCCTTGCCTACCCCCCGTCTATATCGCCGTTTGGAAGTCAGGAGAACGCTTCGAACAGCCAAAGATGAAAGGTTTTTTAACGACTGTTCATCATTGTCTGTCCATCATAGCCTGATTCATAGAAACCTTTTTGACATTTAAAACCCGAAAAGGAAGGAGGCAATTTGTTTTTTTTCGACGCTTCCATCGATGGGTGAGTGGAGCCTGTGATGTCGGAAACTGCCAGTATTAATATAGTATTTGCTTTTTCTCAGCGCTGGAGTTTTCATTATTTCATTTGGCCTACTGCAAGAGTCATCGTAGCTCTTCTTCGTCGGCTTCATCATAGTCGTTAAGGAAATATATATCTCTGTGGCCTGTGACATTGTCGATATGTTCTGAACTTACAATCTTTGCTTTCTTCAGCTCCCTGACTGTTGTTTTTCTTGCACAATGATTCGTAAACGTTTTTCTCACTTTCTTTAAGGCTAGTACGAGCTACGGATACTTTCATTATGTGAGTTATGGTAGTTTCGCCCATTGGTTTAGTTTGGACCAGATGTTTAAATTTTCGGTTTCGCTTGCTACTGAGGTAGAAAAAAACAGACCATCGCATGGATGTTTTAGTAGAGGTCTTCGCTCCAAAAAACGTACAAAAGACTCAAAGAGAGCAACCGGACACCTTTCTCCTTTAACAAATAACGTACGTGACTTGAAATCCCTGTTGTTATCATGGAAAACCTGTATCCTTTGTTCATTTAAATGGCTGAAAAGTGTACCTCTCAAGGTTTGCGTGTGGTTGCAACCGTTTTTGATCTTTATTTTTAATTTTTTACTTTAGCGTAATCTGTTGTAAGTAGCTTGTTTTTTAGTTTCTCTGGCTCATTTTCCACGATTTTGTTGACAGTGTTTTTCTCTCAGCAACGCATTTTCAATACATTTAGCCGGAAAGACGTACTTTTCACTGTGTTCGGGCTTTTGGAATATTTTTTTAAAATTTTTTGTTGTTGTTTTGCTTACAAAATTAAATCCCGTCGTCTTCTGCTGAAAACCATGGCCATTTTCTTGAATTTTGTTGTTAAAACAGCTCTAATCTGATTGGTTCTCAGTGGTTTCTTTTGTGTTTTCAGCCAATCAGAAACCATTTGTAATTTGCACTCGTGTTACAAGTTTGCACTCGTGTTACAGAATAACTGCACTCCTTTCTCAGCCAATCAGAAATGAGTAATTTTTTAGCGTATATTATTAAATAGGATACAGAGCAACGAAAACGCGTTGTAAAAGGTAAAGCCTTCTTTTCTTTCAAGGCTTTCTAATAGTGTTTAATAGTGTGGGGAAAAATATATAAATAAAAAGTCATTGGAACAGTTTCTTTTGTATATTTTTCTTTCAATATGAAGCCAAACAGCCTGCTCACTGATTATTTTCTCGTTCATTTTGATTGGTTATCACGGGCTATGTAGTTAAATTTCATTGGCTAGTTACATGTACTACTTGATTTTCATTTGCCGTCTAACTGTCCGATTTGACCTGTCCAATTACAAGCTCCTGGTATTCGGACAGGTCAAAGAGGATATTTTTGGAGTAACAACAAAATTTAGGAATAATATGGGCTGTAAGAACCAGTCAGATTCGCGCATTTTGTTATTTATACAATTACACGGATAAAAGTATCAACGCCAGTGCTGACTTTTCCAATAGTCGTACAATTAAAATGATGATAAGACTGAGGAAACAAAGAGTTTAATCGAATATAAGATATAGGATCTGAAGATTGTATCAAGAGGATAGGATTTCTGGACCCCTCAATCTCTCTAGCAAAACCTGAATGGGGAGGGGGAGGTGGTGAGGGCGACCTGAAACCACTTCGGCGTGCGCATATTATCTGCGAGATTTGAAATTTCAGATTTTCGGTCTAATTAGTCAACTGACCTTACGATGAGTGAAACGTGCGCAACCTCAGCGAACACTTCAGTCGTGCAGTGCAGGTGGTGGTCATGATAAGTCCTTTTGTAACATAACAAAAGTAAAGAGGGCGCTCTGATTAGTCAGTTAGCCATCTACCATTTGCCCATTGGTGTACACCAACGAAAAGCAAGCGCAGTAATGTTGAAGCAAATTGGGCAAATCGCCTCGCTTGTGAGGTTTAAAATGCACCGATGAAACATACAACTGAAAAGTGGAAGTTGAAGAAAATACTCAGTTGTCGTTGTGGAGGAAAGTGAAAATATTGAGTCAGTCATCGGTACTTTAAAGGAGTTGATGTATGCTGTCATCTACTCGCGATAAAATCATGCCTTTCAAAAACTTGCCTTTGAAGTTTTTCTTTCGCTGCATCAACCGTTCTCCGTCTTACGGGGAATTGCAAAACGCTTTTTTATATCAAGCCATTTTTTCGGTAAGAAGGACGCTGAAAATGTTGCATTGCGTGACCAAGAGCTCTGCGTGGCGGCGCACTTGTTTGCTGAGGAGATAAACACAGAGTCGGATTTGGTTGGAGAAAATTTGGCCAAGGTGACGAACTTTATTTTCAAGATCTGCCAATATATAATAAACTAAATATCTCTTCAGCAAAGGTGGGGGAAAAAACTGCCACCCACTAAGACAAGAAAGAGAAACACACTAGGAATTAATTCGCAGGCAGGCGGAAGGGGAGGTCGTGGAAAATGCTGAAAATTGGTTCAAACCAGCGATGTGAACAACGTCATGGTGAGCGATCGAAAGGGGGCGAGCACATGGAAAAGCGCCCCTAAGAATGATATAGTCCGGAAAGCCCTAAATTCTGATTGGCTGGAAATAAGATAGGCTTGGAACCTGCCGCCTTGGCCTGCGAACCATTATCACATGCCTTGCCATAAAATCCCATTATGATGTCGTCATAACGGTGTCTTTTGTTGTTACTATTCTAGCCTGAACTAAGTCTGTCTACTTGCTCTTAATAAAGTGGAATCTCTATATAACGAGCCTCTAACAAAACGAAGTCCTCGGTATAACGAACGATTTTCTTTACACCAGTAATAAGAAAATATATGGAAAAGTACCTCGATATAACGAAACCTCGTTATTGCCTAATTTCATACCGCGCGGGAGCCTCGAAATACCGGCTTTCCCCGGACTTTTTAAATTCCGGATTCAAAATGGCTTGCAAAATAGAGGGTATAGCAAAGGTCTTGCACACAGTTGAAACGATTAATAGCGATTAATAAGTTAATAGCGGAACTCCACGCGCTTTGCACGCGTGCGTGGGCGGAGACCTATGGTTTATCTACCCATCCGAGAAAATTTGGTAATCGGGGGCCGTACGACCGCCCGCCCGCCCGCCCGCCCGCCTGTCCATCCGCACCACAGGCATACCGATGACTCTAGCTTTTTCGGAAGTCCTGGAGAAAACTGATTGCACATCAATGTTGTGATCAATTGACAGCTGACATTGGTTAGGTACGTGGTGTAAGCATCATATAGTGGTTCCCCGTTAGTTCCTAGAAGCAGTGTACATAATCCTACATAATCCTACACAGCCCTACATAGCCATACAGAGCCATACATAGCCATACATAACCTTACATAACCCTACATAGCCATACATAGCCATACATAACCATACATAGGCATACATAACCATACATAGCCCTACATAGCCTTACATAGCCCTACATAGGCATATGTAACCATACATAGCCCTACATAGCCCTACATAGCCATACACAACCCTACACAGCCCTACACATCACTACATAGCCATACATGGCCATAGATAACCATACATAGCCCTACATAGCCCTAAATAGCCATACATAGCCCTACACAGCCCTACATA